TCTTCCAGGATTTTTATGGTTTCAGGTCTCACATTTAGGTCTTTAATCCATTTCAAGTTTATTTGTGTGGATGATGTAAGAAAGTGGACCAGTTTCATTCTTTTGCACGTAGCTGTCCAGTTTTCCCAACACCATTTGTTGAAGAGACTTTTTCATATTGCATATTCTTTCCTCCTTTGTTGAAGATAAATTGACCATATAATCACGGTTTATTTCTGGGCTGTCTATCCTGTTCTGTTGATCTTTGTGTCTATTTTTGTGCCAGTACCATGCTGTTTTGATTACTACAGTTTTGTAATACAATGTGAAGTCTGGAATTGTGATTTGTATACAGTCTTTTCTTTTTCAAGATTGCTTTGGCTATTTGGGGTCTTCTGCGGTTCCATACACATTTTAGGATTGTTTGTTGTAATTCTGTGAAAAATGCTGGTGTTATTTTGATAGGGATTGCATTAAATGTGTAGACTGCATTGGGCAGTATAGACATTTTAACAATATTAATTCTTCCAATCCATGAGCATGGAATGTCTTTCCCTTTCTTTGTGTCATCTTCAATTTTTATCATCAGTGATGTCTTTCACCTCTTTGGGAAAACCTTTTTTTTCACTGTAATTCTGACCAAGGGATCTTTTTAAAGGGGATACTTAGGAAAGTTTCTATTTTGCCAAAAAATACAAAAATTAAAACAATATCATACTGATAGATGCAACAATATAAATGCATCTCGGGCGCCTGGGCGGCTCAGTCAGTTAAGTGTCCGACTTCAGCTCAAGTCATGATCTCATGGTCCGTGAATTTGAGCCCCACATCAGGCTCTGTGCTGACAGCTCAGAGCCTGGAGCCTGCTTTGGATTCTGTGTCTCCCTCTCTCTCTGCCCCTCTCCCCACTCACACTCTGTCTCTCTCTCTCTCAAAAATAAACATTAAAAAAATTTTTTAAATGACTCTCACAGACAATATGTTCAGTGAGCACAAAAGTACACAGTACATAATTTCATTTATATGAAATTTAAGAACGGCAAAACCAATTGATGTGACAGAAATGACAGAGGTCACCACCCTCTAGAGGATACTGAGAAGAGGCATGAGGAAACCACGGACACCAGAATGAACTATGTCTTTATCTCTTTGATCACGACCATGATCTCATGGTCATAAGCCACGCAATTAGTGTACCTGCTGTACTTTACTGTGTATGATATACGTTGTACTTCAATAAAATTAAGAGTATCAAAAATGTTTTTGAGGAATATTTAATGATGTCATAAAAAGCCTACAATATAATGTTAAATCAAAAAATAGGATTTTAGGGTGCTTGGGTGGCTCAGTCAGTTAAGCATCTGACTGGCTCAGGTCATGATCTCGAGGTTCATGAGCTCAAGCTCCGCATCAGGCTCTGCTGTCAGCGCAGAGCATACTTTGGATCCTCTGTCCTCTTCTCTCCCGCTCCTCTGCTTCTGCTCTCTCTCAAAAATAAATTAATGCTTTAGGGGCGCCTGGGTGCCTCAGTCAGTTAAATGTCCGACTGTGGCTCAGGGCATGAACTCGCGGATAAGCCCCATGTCAGGCCCTGTGCTGACAGCTCAGCTGAGCAGCCTACAGCCTGCTTCGGATTCTGTGCCCCTTCCGTGCTTGTGCTCTCTCTCTCTCTCAAATAAATAAATATTTTAAAAAATAAATAAAATAAAAAATAAACATTAAAAAAATATAAGATTTTACACAGTGTACCTGGATGGCTCAGTCAATTAAGCATCCGACCCCTGAGTTAGGCTCAGGTCATGACCTTACAGTTTGTGGGTTTGAGCCCTGTGTTGGGCTCTGCTCTGATAGTGAGGAACCTGCTTGGGATTCTCTCTCCCTCTCCTGCTCGTGCTTAGGCTCTATCTCAAAATAACTAAACTTTTAAAAAAATTCTATTAAAAAAATAGGATTTTACACTGACGGGGAACATAGTCCTACTTCTTCGGATTCAGATTAAGAAGGTGCAGAAGAGGCTGGGGTATGACAGAAAATACACGAGAACTGTAACTAAGGGTGGAAGAATTTTCTTGATAGCTCACTGTATTTCAAAATCTCTAGTTACCAATCAGATAAAATAAATTTTAAAAATACACACACACACACACACACACACACACACACACTTTAATTCAGAAAAAGTACCAACTACATCTGGAATTTGAGGACATAACAGAAAAAAATAAACACGTGCAAACTTAATTAAAAGAACCTTCAAATATTTAATCTACAACGTTGGTACAAACTGAAGTGACTGACTGACTACAAAGGACCAGGTTAACACCCAAAACAATGTGCAAACATGGCCTGCTTATTTTACAAAGTACAAGATATCCAGAAGGGGAAGGGAAAAAAAACAACTCGAAAATTCCCTAGGAAGGCAGAGAAACCATTGTACTGGAGATTCAGAGACAGGAAATTAGCGAGTTGCACATTTTCCCCACACATAATACTTAAGAGCTGAAACCTGCTTACAACTCTTAAGGCTCAACTTTTGAGGCATCTTTGCTCAAAGGTTCCGATACTACAGATTTTAAAATCCAGGAAAGGCAGTAAGATCTAATAAAATAATGAACATCTAAACCTACCCTAACATATAGGGAAGGAGTAAACTAATATTCAGTAGCTAATTAATTGTTCCTCTGGTAAGTTTTTCTTCCCCTCTCCCCCACCAAAAAGAAACAAAACAAAACAAAAAACATTAGTAGCTATATGGGGAGTATCTGGTCTTAGTTCTCTACAACGAGAATTCAAATTATAATCCTTAGTACAAATAATCAATGCTAGAGTTTTTTACCATTATTTTAAGCACAGATTATTTTTATATTAAAAATACGTAGACCCTTGGGGCACCTGGGTGGCTCAGTTGGGTGAGCGTCCGAATTCGGCTCAGGTCATGATCTCACAGTTTATAAATTTGAATGAGGCCCACACGAGATATATTTGAAACAACTCAATTTAGATTTGATCACTTCGAATTGATTCTGTCTCCCTCTCTCTTCTCTCTCCCACTCATGCTCTGTCTCTCTCAAAAATAAATAAACATTAAAAAAATTTTTTTAAATAAAAAATAAATACATATACCCCAAATAATGGTTTTTTAAAAGTAAAGTGCTGGGGCACCTGGCTGGCACAGTCAGTGGACCATTCGACTTTTGATCTCCAGATGGTGGTTCGAGCCCCACAATGGGTGTAGAGATTACTTAAAAATATAATCTTGGGGCACCTGGGTGGCTCAGTCAGTTAAGCAGCCAAGTCTTGATTTGGGCTCAGGTCAATGACCTCATGGATGGTGGAGTTCATGCTCAATCGGGCCCAGGTGGCTCTCCACATTGGAGCTCAGTTGCCTGGGATCTCTTTCTCTCCTCTTTTCTGCCCTCCCACTTGCCCACAGGTGCTTTCTCTCTCTCTCTCTCTCAAAATAAAATAAATAAACTTCTTAAAACATTTCTTAAAATATTTCTTTATTTAAAAAAATAAAAAAATAAAATCTTTATAAAAATTAAAAACTAAAAATTAGATTAAAAATTTTTAATAAAAATCTAAAAAATAAAGTGCTTTCGTTTTCATCACACTCCATAACACAAGTAAGGCTATCTTTTGCCCAATTATCTAAAGCACCCAGAACTGATTAAAACCTCTTGACAGTAAGATCAGATGAGAAGCCAAAGTTCACTGGAACTCTACTATTACCAGCACTGGTCTCTCTTAAGTCAGTTTTTTTTTTTTTTTTTTTTTGTTAGGCTCTCGAAACCTTAAATAAACAAATCCAACAGCCAGTGAAAACTGACACGCCCAGAAACTCCCAGAAACTCCCAGCGAAACATTTACTTCACAGTTCACAATAGACAGTCCTATTCCATCTACAGGTGGCCTTGCCTGGAGCTAAAGGTCAAAAGAAAACAGTCCTTAACACCTTCACACTTTTTCAGGGTGGGAGGGAAGGAGGAGGAAAAAGAGAACAAGCAGGCTTCAAGGAGAGTTCAGGAACACAGGAACCCTACCACACCTGCTGATTTTCAAAAGAGTTTCGTTGTGGCTCCTTAACCAGAAGAAAATCTCATCTACGTTTCTTCAAATCAGACAACACAGAACACCAGAGCTAAAGAGGCCTTCGAGATGAGCCATGTCTTTATCCCTCCCCTGACCAGCAGAACCCAACCTGAGCCCTCTTTACTCCACTCCCCCGGTCCAGAACACATCTACCCTGGAACCCGTGTCCAGGATTCACACCTCCCCTTCACGGCAAAACTTCAATCTGCTCCAGGAAACCTATGATGGGGGTTTCTGAGGATGCTCCCAACTACATTCTAACAGGACTTCTGAGAAATAAAGTCTCACTGCAGACATCTCTAAAGACAGGTCAGGTATCAGGAACACCTATTTCCGAGATATTAACACATACTCGTACGAATAACAGTACAGTATACACAAAAAGGGAATCGCTCCAGTCTCTCTCTGCTTCACGGAAGTATCTCTTAGGTAAGTATCCATGCAGAATCAGTCACTGTAATTTGCTAGGCTGTTATCCATGGAAGAAGTTTAAACATATGCCACTTGCTATGACTCCAAAACACCACTGCCAATCCTGAGCCAAGAGACAGCAAGCATCCCGCCCAAGTGTTTCCCTCCAAAATGACAAGAAGGAAAATAGAAGGGGAGGGGAGAGGTGTTTTGTTTTGCAAAAGCCAAGTCCTTTCTGCACAATTCTTTAGAAGCCATTTGGTTTCAGGGCCTAGGTACACTTCTTTAAAACAGAAATCTGATTTTCACCTTGTAGTGAAACAATTTCCAGTTATCATACCACCTTCTCAGAGGTCTGAGCAAAACATGAGAGCACAACTTTTGCAACATATACAGACAATAATTCTAAGAACAGAGTTTCACAAAGCACTCAAAGTCAAATTTAGAGACAGAAACCTGGGGGGTTAATAAAATACCAGACATATGCTCTTTTTTTTTTTTTTTTTAACAACACTTACCCATTCTTCGACATTGGGGGGTTGCTCATCATAAATATGTTCCTTGTCCCACAAAATATTCGACTTGTCATACCGGTCCATCTTACTTCGAGTTTTCACAGCAAAGAAAATTATTAAAGCGAAAGCCACAATAACCATGAATCCCAGGACAATGGCAATTGCCTAAAAAGAGATTAAAGATATTGACACAGTTAGATTTCAATTGTTTACTTTATCCTAATGCACTATCCAAAAATACCTAAGGCCCTGCACTTATACATCTGTGGTGTGATATAAAACTGATACAAATAGTTACATTTTAGAAATATAAAATGTAGCCCATGTCAGTTGGGCGGAGGCTAGCAATACATATGTGACTTGATTCAATACTCAGAACAGGCTTAAAGTTAGGTACTCTCATCACCCCATTTTAAATGATAGAAATCTAGTTCCAAAGCTTGAGCACTAAGTGGCCTTTTTACCAACAGATGAAAATGGCCAGTAAATTAACTCAATCACTGGTATACTTCTAAAGGACTTTAAATTTTTTTTTAATGTTTATTTATTTTGAGAAAGAGACAGAGTGTGAGCAGGAGAGGGGCAGAGAGAGAGGGAGACACAGAATCCGAAGCAGACTCCAGGCTCTGAGCTGTCGGCACAGAGCCCGACACGGGCCTCGAACTCAGGAGCTGTGAGATCATGACCTGAGCCGAAGTCGGCGGCTTAACCGACGGAGTCACCCAGGCGCCCCTCTCAGAAGTAGCTTTAAATACCCAATCATGTTTATAATCTTGTTCATAACACATGCTCGGCAAATCTTTTTATACTGAATGTAACTTCCAGTCTATAGAGGATCTACCTTACCATAAATTATGCAGACATGATCTAACCAAGCTATAAATTAGAGAAAATGATTCATTTAGTCTGGCAGGTGGTTTCTGTTGGGAGTCTTCTGTGCATTTACAAGAAAGGGCCCTGTGACAAGGAATCCCTCCCCGTAACAGTTCTCCCAGCGTCTGATAAGCATGTTGAATGGTCCACTGGCCTGCAGACGCTTGAAATTAGGCAGGTACCTGGACCCTGGCCTGGATTCTGCTAATGGGTAACAAGTGGGTCTCTTTGCAGCCATCTAACAGTGATATCCTTTTTCAGTGAATACAAGTTTGGGGCATTCAGAGAACTAAGAGAGACGGGGGGTGTGGTAAGATAGGAATATCAGCCCTCAGCTCTATTTACCAGACATACATTTGCAAGTCAACAAACATTCTGAAAACCTACATTTGGGGTGAAAACATTTCAGTCTTCAAAATAATGATAGTTACTGGAGATGATCTAACCCCAAAAGAGTGACTCATTCAGGTAAAAGAATGAGAATTACTGAGTCAGTGTAAGGAGGGGGAAAACAAAACAAAACAAAACGATAAGGGAAAAAAAGGTAAGAAATCCATCAGGAAAAAAAGATTAGCAACTTCACACCCATCAGCATGGACAGAATCAAGCAGACAAAACACAATGTTGGTGACGATGCGCAGAAATTGCAATCATCATACGTTTCTAGTAAATGTAAAACAGTGCAACCTGTTGGGAAAACAGTTCCTCAAGAGATTAAACACAGAGACACTGTCCATGAGTGGCTCAGTCAGTTAAGTGTCTGACTCTTGATTTCAACTCAGATCATGTTCGTTGAGATATAGCCCCGTGTTGGGCTTTGAGATGACAGTGTGGAGCCTGCATGGGATTCTCTCTCTCTTTCTAAATAAATAAACATTAAAAAAAAAAAAAAAAAGAAAAAAAGGCCCAGAGACAACATAAGACCTAGCAATTCTATCCCTAGGTACATACTCAAGAGAAACTAAAACATGAGTTCACCTAAGAACTTGTACACAAATGTTCAGAGCATTATTCCAAACAATCAATGTGAAAACATCCCAAATATCCATCAACTGATGCATGGATAAACAATGATACAGGCATACAATCGACTGTTACTCGGCAACAAAAAGGAATTGACACAACATGCTATATAACATGGATGAACCTTGAGAATTTTACATTGATGTGAACTGGAAGGAGCCAATCACGGGTACACCCGGCTGGCTCGTTCAGGGGAGTATATGACTCTTGATCCCAGGGTCTTGAGTTCAAGCCCTACATTGGGTGTAGAGATTAAATAAAACTTTAAAAAAAGAAAGAAGGTTGGGTGCCTGAGTGGTTCATTTGGTTAAGCCTCCAACTTTGGCTCAGGTAATGATCACGGGGTCTGTGAGTTCAAGCCCCACATCAGGGTCTCTGCTATCAGGGGAGAGCTCGCCTCAGATCCTTCTGTTCTCCCTCTTTCTGCCCCTCCCCCACTAACATTTTTTTTTTTCTCTCTCTAACATCAACTTTAAATAAATAAGGTCTTAAAAAAAGCCAATCACAAAAGACCTCATATTGTGTGACTCTATATATGAACTATCCAGAATAGGCAAAACTATAGAATAGGATTAGCGGTTGCCTTGGTCTGGGAAGGGTTAGAGAAATGAGAAATTACCGCTAATTGTGTTATGGGGTTTCTTTCAGGGATAGCGAAAATGTTCTAAAACTGATTATGGGGATGGACACACAACTCTGAATATACTAAAAATTACTGAACCAAACTTTAAATGGATGAACTATCTGGTATTAAAAATATCATAATAATGACACCAGACCCTCTCCAGATTCTGACTTCAAAGGAAGTGAAGCCTTGTCATAAATACCTTTTAAAAGGTCCCAAAGTGATTCTACTAAGCCTCCCAAAAGCCTCTACCCAAAGCAGGGCAGGGAGGAAACCACCCATACCTCTTGGGCATCTACCACACAGTAGTGATACAAATACTGATCCACGTAGAGTCCACTAGCTGCAGGTGTGTAAAACTGGTTGCAGATGGCATATATCTGTGAACTGTATAGCGACCCAGAAGCCTGGGCAGTTGGATTGACTCCCATTATGTAGACAATTGTGGCAATAAACATCATGATGCCCAGGATAGCACTCAGTATTATCACGGTCAAGTAGTATCTTCTCGTTCTAGAGATTTCAGATCTGATAACGCTGGTAACAAATATCACCAACGCAGCAATGAAACAGAAGGCCACCATGGCCAGGAGGAAGCCCTTTGCGGCTCTTGGATCTGTGTAGCCTCCGTAGCCATAGCCGTAGCCATAACCATAGCCGTAGCCGGTTCCGTAGGTACCAAAGCCACTTCCGTAAGGGTAGCCTATACCACCTCCTATTAAGCCAGTTCCATAGCCTCTATCCCAGGCAAGGGTGGAGGCGACACAGGCAAATATGGCAATGCACATCACGATAACAAGCATAGACAGAATCCGAATCACTCCTGGAGGAGAGGTCCATTTGTAGAAGTGAAGAATTTCATCTTCCGGGTAAAAAGAATAGGCCGGCTGGGACAGCATTGGTCGAACGTGCATGTCTCCACCATACATATCATTGCTTGGTGCATAATGATTGGGTTTGCTGAAATACGCATGAAAACAGTTTCAAGTTAGTATCGTTTGGAGGTAAGTAGAAAGAACATATCGTGTACTTGGAATAATTTAAACTATCCATTGGCAAATAAAACTATTATTAGTACCACCCCACTACAAGCAACAACACTTTATGCCTCCCCCCACCCCCTGCCGCAAAATCAAATGCCAACACCTTAAACTCCAATGTGATGCTATTAGGAGGTGGCCTAATTAGGTAAAGAGATGGAGCCCTCATGAATGGAAACAGTGCCTTTACAAAAGAGACTCCTTCTACCTTGCGAGGGGATACAACCACAAGCTGGCAGTCTGCAACCCAGAAGACGGACTTCACTAGAACCTGACCACAATGGCACCTGATCTTGGACTTTCAGCCTCCAGAACTGTGAGAGATAAATTATGTTGTTTATAAGTCACCCAGTCTGCACTGTTGTTTATAAGTCACGAAGTCGGTTAAGCGGCCGACTTCAGCTCAGGTCATGATCTCGAGGTGAGTGTGAGCCCCGCATCGGGTTCTGTGCTGACAGCTCAGAGCCTGGAGCCTGCTTCGGATTCTGTGGCTCCCTCTCTCTCCGCCCCTCCCTCACTCATGCTCGCGCGCTCGCTCTCTCTCTCTCTCTCTCAAAAATAAACATTAAAAAAAAATTTTAATAGAAAAAATAAGTCACCCAGTCTGTACTACTTTGTTATAGCAGTCTGAAGCTACTGAGACACCCAGTGAACAGTAAAAGTTTCTGTGCATCAGAATCCCCTGGAGGGCTTGTTAAAACAAAGACTGTTGGTCCCCAACCCCAAGGTGCTGATTCTGCAGGAAGGACAAGCTGCTGCTCGTGCAGCCAGTCTGAGAAACATGCACTGAGAATGACCACTCTAAGGAGTGGATTTCTATGGAGTAGAGGTTCTCAAATTTTTGACATATTAGAATCACCTGGGGAGTGGGTACAATCCCTAGACAGAGCATTCCACACCAGTTAAACTGTAATTCCTGGGGAGGGAAGCCCAAGCAGTTTAGAATAAGGATGTCAACCCTACTGCTTGTGGAATTTGAGACCAGTGCATTCAAACAGGACACCGAAGGTGGCCTACCCAGGGTCATGTCCAATTCCTGGCAGCTTCACTCTCCTACCTGAGAAGGCACATTCATTCATTTATTCACATGATAGCTATTAACTGGAGCCACCAGGGTGATGTGCGCTGGGCACTACGCTAGATACTGAGGATACAACAACGAACAGCAATGTCTCAATCCAGACCCCTCAAAGGTTAGTTATGGTTAAGAGCTACGAAGTAAATCAAATATGCAAAGAGGACTCATCAAGGTGATGTCTAATTAGATCTTTATAAAGACACTTTGCAGGGGTGCCTGGGTGGCTCAGTCAGTTGAGTGTCCGACTCTTGATTTTGGCTCACGTCATGATCCCAGGTCGTGGGATTGAGTCCCATATCGGGCTCTGTGCTGATCATGGAGCCTGTTTAGGATTCTCTCTCTCTCTCTCTCTCTCTCTGTCTCTGTCTCTCTCTCCCTCTACCCATCTCCCCTGCTCTCGCCCTCTCTCTCAAAACAAAAAACAAAAAACAAAACAACTACTTTGCAAACTTCAGTAATACAATCATAAACATCACGGGAGACAGGCACACTGATCTGTGGACACGCTGAATGTAAGAAATGTGGGTCCTGCAGGAACAAAATTCAATTGCTCAACTGACCTCACCCCCTTTTGTTTTTGCCATTATTTCCTTGGTCCACTTCTCTCATTGCAAAGCAAGATATCTTACTACTGGGTGCTGCTAACCACTTGAATGCAAGGAAATGCAAACTAGAAAGAACACTGATAAGATGGTCTTTGAAAACGTCACATATGAAAACTCCATAACTCATTCTACTTGGATATTTGGGATGTCTCCATCTGGGGCTGTTGTGAACAATGTAGCTCTGAACACGATTGAGCATGTGCCCTCATACACAAAAGCACTTATTCTTTTCTTTTTTAAAATAATTTTTAACATTTTTATTTGTCTTTGAGAGACAAAGGATGAGCGGGGGAGGAAAAGAGAGAGAGGGAGACACAGAATTCAAAGCAGGCTCTAGGCTCTAAGTTGTGAGCACAGACTCTGACTCAGGGCCCGAACCCATGAATCGTGAGATCATGACCTGAGCCAAAGTCCGACGCTTAACAGACTAAGCCACCCAGGCACCCCTGAAAAGCACTTATTTTTCTAAGGTATATACCCAGGAGAATTTTTTTTTTTTAATTTTTTTTTTCAACGTTTTTTATTTATTTTTGGGACAGAGAGAGACAGAGCATGAACGGGGGAGGGGCAGAGAGAGAGGGAGACACAGAATCGGAAACAGGCTCCAGGCTCTGAGCCATCAGCCCAGAGCCCGACGTGGGGCTCGAACCCACGGACCGCGAGATCGTGACCTGGCTGAAGTCGGACGCTTAACCGACTGCGCCACCCAGGCGCCCCTCCAGGAGAATTTTTGAGTCAAATTTTTCTTTTTTTAACTTCAGCTCTATAAGACAATGTCAAAGTGTTTTCCAAAATGATTATATCATTAAAAAATTATTTAAATATTTATTATTTATTTTTGAGAGAGAGAGAGAGCAAGCAGTGGAGGGGCAGAGAGAGAAGTAGACACAGAATCTGAAGCAGGTTCCAGGCTCTGACCTGTCATGGGGCTTGAACCCACAAACTGTGAGAACATGACCTGAACCAAAGTCGGACACTTAACTGACTGAGAAACCCAGGCACCCCCCCAAAATGATTATATCACTTAAAAAAAAGATGATTATACCACTTAAAATTCCATTAACGTTGTAACATTCACAGAAGCATTGCTGAGAATAACCCAAAACTGGAAACAGTGTAAATTTCTACCTAGAGTGGAACAGGTAACCGTAACATATCCACAGGATGGAACGCTACAGGGCTGTGTCTAATATGGCAGCCACTAGCCACACAATCCACTGAACACTGGAAATGTGGCCAGTCCAAACCGATCATAGTGTAAAAAAAGAAACGTAGCACCATCAAGAGAAAACCCAATATTAACTACGTACTTTGGGTGACAATGATTTGTCAATGAAGGTTCATCAATTATAACATGTGCGCCACCCTGAAGGGGGATACTGAGACAGGCAATGTATGTATAAGGGCAGGGGGAATATGGGAAATCTCTGTACCTTCCTCTCCATTTTGCTGTGAATGTAAAGCTGCTCTAAAAAATAACATCTAGTAATAACAAGGAATATAAACTGCCTCATGAGTCAGTGTTTACATCACATGTTGAAATAACAATTTAAATATACTGGGTTAAGCGAAATATTAATACGGTTAGAAAAAAAACAAAAAATTACATATATCATTCACATTTTATTTCTGCAGCATTGCTCTGAAGAAAAAAAAAAGGTTAAAAACAAGTAAAGCTAAAATGTACTGTTTAGATGTTTAAAAAAAAAAAAAAAGAAAGAGAGAATATCAAGTGATAATCATGTCAGAACGGTGGTTTCCAGGGGAAGGAGAGGAGACAAGGATGCTCTTGGAGGTGACCTACGTGATGATTTTGCTTTATCTTTATCTTACTCATCATCATCACATGTTCTATGCCCTTTTCTGTGTGTGTGTTATATCTCACCCATGTTTATAGGGGCAATGTAATAGGAACACAACTCCTACTACAGTTATCAAAGACTTGAAGCTACAAACTACTTACAGGAAGAAATCCCTATCAAAGTCTGATAACAAATTTAAATTTTTTCACAGTTAAACCCCCAAATGAATAGGGATGCAAGAACCCTCAACTTTGCTTCTTGATTTTATTACTGGCAAGAATCACTCTAATGATGTGGATGGGGTGCCTGGGGAGCTCAGTCAGTTAAGTATCCAACTCTTGATCTTGGCTTAGGTCATGATCTCACAGTTTGTGAGTTCAAGCTCCACATCGGGCTCTGCGTTGATGGTGCGGAGCCTGCTTGGGATTCTGTCTCTCCTCTCTGCCCCTCCCCAACTTGTGCTCGCTCTCTCTCTCTCTCTCTCTCTCCCCCAAAAAATAAACTTAAAAAAAATTTTTTTAAAGAAAAAAAACTAACAATGTGGAAAACATTATGCCAAGTGAAAGAATCAGCCACTGAGGATCACATATTGTGTGATTACATTTGTATGAGATGTCCGACATGGAACAATCTAGAAAGAGAAAGTGGACTGCTGATGGCCTAGTACTAGAGGGAAATGAGGAATGACTGCTGATCGGGGTGATGAAAATGTTTTAAAATTGATGTGGTGACAGTTGCACAACTCTGTGAATATATTAAAAGTACTAAACTGTCCATTCTAAACGGGTGGATTATTTGGTGTGTGAACCGTATGTCAATAAAAGTTATTACTACAAAATTGACAAGGAGTCAAGTTTAGGGTTAGTCACCTAAACAGGGCATTAATAAAGAAGCTTCGCATCATTTGTGAAAAAACAAAAAGGAATAAATATACCCACAAATATAAGCTTAAACTATCTAGAAGCAAACGTTAGAAAGAGATAAGGGTGTCTGGGTGGCTCAGTCAGTTAAGTGTCTGACTCTTCATTTCAGCTCAGGTCATGATCCCAGGGTTGTGGGATCAAGCCTCAAGCTGGACTCTGCACTGAGTGTGGAACCTGCTTGGGATTCTCTCTCTCCCTCTCACTCGTTCTCTTTTTCTCCCTTGCCCACTCACGTGTGCACGT